AAGAAAGGCAATCCCAAAGAATGCTCAAACTACTGCACAATTGCACTCATCTCACACGCTAGTAAAGTAATGCTCAAAATTCTCCAAGCCAAGCTTCAGCAATATGTGAACCATGAACTTCCAGATGTTCAAGCTGGTTTTAGAAAAGGCAGAGGAACCAGAGATCAAATCTAATAGGTACTTCCACCTAAATGCCTAATAAATGTCTGCATGGCTCACTGTTCAAATGTAAAGTCTTCAGAGAAACTTTCCATGACTATCCTATGTCAAAAAGACTCTCTACCTCACAGTCTCTATCCCATAATCTTTTAAAATTTTTCTTCATGGCAGTCATCACAACCTATTTATATATGTTTTAGGTTAAGTTCTAAGTGCTGAATCCTTGTTCACTGCTTTACCTTAGTGCACAGAACATACCTCAATATTCATCAAAGGAAGAGAAAGGGAATACTGATTAGGAATAAATGTATAAAAGACTTTTTAACCAATACATAAAACATATAATGAAGATACTTACTTTTCCTTTTTTTCTTGTTTGTGGGCCTCTCTTGTAATTTGAGCTGCTTTTCTACTATATGGATGGATGACTTTTTTTTCTTGTCCTACACTTTTTCCCTTTGGTGCTTTAGGCTGAAATGTAGAGAAGTATATGACACACATAGCCAGATACATAAATGACTTCTGTCAAAAAATTTTCTTTGGAAATAAACATTTTAAACAGTAGTATAACAGAAACACCGTGAGCTGGAAATACGTCACTAGAAATCAGGAGCTATGCCAGACTCAGTCTTTGTTTCCATGGTCCTAAGGGAAATGATACACAGTTGGCCTCTGAACAACACAGGCGTGGAACCTGCGGGTCCACCTGAACGCAGATGACTGTGTCCCACAGTAAGTACTCCAGTGCTGCGTTATCTCTGTTTATGGAGGAACTGTATACATGGAGGGCTGACTATAAACCACACAAAGACTTCTGACTGAGCGGAGAGTTGGTGCCCCTAACCCCTGCACTGTCCAAGAGTTAACTGTATTCAGAACTATGCTCCAGTGATGTAAGAAAATAAAGGCAGAGAGCCAATAACCCAGGTTTTCAACTGTTCCATCTTCAAAGCAGATAAAGAAAATGCAGATAGTGAGGAGAGTCATAGGTGGTCATCTGCGTAAAAGTTAAAATTAAGAGAGGGTAGAAGGAACCCAAGATGTTAACAGGAGCCTGACTGTAGAAGCTGCACAAGAAGCTGTAGAAGACAGTGGGCGGTGAAGACAGCAAAATCAAAGCTGGATGCACAGGAAATAAGAAGAGAGGGAATAATATAAGCCATCTCAAATCAGCCCACCCCAAAAGACACAAATTATTTTCCCATTCAAGACTTAACCAGGTCCTCTAAACTAGCTGTCCAGCATTTCAGTACTGTTTTATTCCTACATACTTCTGTTATCTTATATCTGACCTAAATTACTCAGGAAATTTGGCTCCCTGTAATAGAAAGCCAAAATAACAGTGGCCTAACCCAGATGAAGTTAGCTCTCTCCCACAGAAAGCAGAAACTGGAGGCTCTGCCCTATGGAGCCCGGAGACCCACTCCTTCTTGCTGATGTCCTCAGATGGAACACCAGGCCTTCAGTCCAGCCAGTAAGAGGCAGAAGAGAAAATCAACAGGCATGTTCCTTCAATATTAAAGGAGGATTATATAACTGATTAGTAAATATAGCCTTTATTCCCAGAAAAAAATACATGATTATAGAAGAAAAAGAGGCTCTTTAGGGGACAGCTGGGAGTCTAACACATCTAATCTTCAAAAAGGTCACATATTTAGAATATTCTCTCCAAAACTCCTGTCACTGCTTTAATGCAGCCTCACAGTCTTTCATGATTAAGGTGGCCTTCAGGTTCTCACTGCTACTCCTTTTTCATCGGAAGACTTAAAGTGCACCTGCCTAGAACACTAACGAGTAAAGTCCTTCTGCCCTGTAAAGGGCTTCACTAACTCGGTTAGGCCTAAAACCTTAACATGAGAAACAAACTCCTCCCACTTACTCTCCAGCATTACACCCCACTCAAAAGACTCTTCATCACATTCTTACTAACTTCTCACCATTCCCAGAACATACCATGCTGTTTTGCTTTTTTTTCTTTAACTTCTGGAGACTGAACTTGTTACCTCTGCCAGTAAAATCTTTACTTGTCCTCTGATAAAATGCAGCTCAGTCACTTCCTTTATAAAACTGTCCAAGTAGAATTAATCAAAATGACAACCTCACATATGTATTCATTTCTTCAACAATTATTAACTAAAATACTCAATAAATATTTACTATTGCCTTCCTGATAAACATGACCAGAGAAGATGAACTCCAAGTGTGAAACCCAGGCTGCCCCAGGAGCTGGTCAGGGGTACAGGAGTATAGTGTGAAACCATCATCAGAGTATGTGCGTTCTTCCACGTGTCTCTCTGCATGTGTGGAGGGAGGAGACAGGAAGGTGTAACAGGAACTTCTGTGCATGAAGGTTAGCTAGCAAACACAGATCAAGTAAAACTGTCAGAACTCAAGGCAGGCTGCCTCTAAGATGGTCCCCAATGACCCCACCTCCTGAGGCTATATGCGTCCGTTCATTCCCTTGAGTGTGGGCAGGACCTCTGGCTCACTTTGTGGCCTAACATTTGGGAAAGTGATACCCATCAGTCCCGAAATAGGTTACGAAAGGACCCTGGCTGTGTCTTGCCCACTCCACTCTGCCCTCTCTGGCTGCCTCCGATGGAGACTACTGTCTTGTGGTAAGCTGCCCTACACAGAGGCCAGTGGGACAAGTGACTGAGGGAAGCCTCAGGGAGTGAGGAACTGAGGCCCTCAGTCCAGGAGCCCACAAGGAACTGAACTCCACCAAGAACCATGTGAGGTAGCTGTGAAGTGGACCCTCCCCAAGCTGTGCCCTGAGACGAAGCCACAGCCTCAGCTTATACTTTGCAATCTTGTGAGAAACCTTGATGGCGAGGACCCAGGTAAAGTATGCCTGGTCTGTGAGATAATAAACTCTTAATTTTTCAAGCCGATGAATTGTGGGATAGCTTGTTAAAGAGTTAACTGATGCAAAATCAAAAAAATAAAGCAAAGATATCTTTGCAAAGATATTTTTATTTCACACATTCCAACAAATAAAGTGCTTTTAAAAAATGGAACAAGATCACAAAATTCTCAAGAAAAAAAGATGGTCTCTGAAGCTGTAAAACTTAACTGAAGCTACAGACTTGTGTAACATTGTTTTAGCAGTAAGCTCAAGTCTACAGAAAATTTCCTTTAAAGATTTAAAAACTTTCTTTAGAACAAGGAATAGTTTGATAACCCTTGGAGTACAAAATA